AGAAGAGAAGAGAAGAGAAGAGAAGAGAAGAGAAGAGAAGAGAAGCCACAATTAAAGACAATTATCTTGTTTTGACATGGATATGAAAGATTGGTTGCAATTAGTACTGATTTTGGCTTTAATCATTCATGACATTCTTATTCTTCAATAGCCATCAGGATATATTGAAATAAATACCTCACCCCACTAGAAATAACTGCAGTTCTGCAGATCTACTAGCCATGTCTTTGCAATGCTGCAAACTATACACCCTACCTGGAAAATTCTGATGGAAGGCACCAAGATCCACCTTGGGAGGTCTTGGCGGTTTCTTTGGAGGAGGACCAAGCTCTTTGATAGAAGGAAGAAGTTTGATTTTTGGAAGCCTGGCATCTTCACCATCATGTTGTCTTTCTGCACCAAAGAAATGAGACAGTCTTAAGATTTGAGAAAGGAGGGATGGAAAACTGGTAGAGTGGAATTTGTGATCCATGAAATAAACCATGTTCATGAAACAATAAACTGTTTTCTTCTAGTTCCAACACTTTCCTTGCCTATTCTTAGAATTATGAAGGGAAGGTACATGCCAATGTACACATGCACCTGTCTTTTGGCTGCAGAACTGGCAGCATCTGTACCAGAGTAACAATCTGAATATCATTTAAAGCATTCAAACCACTAATTCCTAGCATTCGGGAAGAAAGGGGAGAATCACTCATCCTAGTGTTACAGCACGAACGGGCAAATTTGTGATCATAGGAGGCATACTTCTTTTTCCAATTTATTTATTTGATGGATGAACACTGCAATGAGTGAGCAGTGATGCAAGAATATCATTCAAGCAAAGCGGGCCAGGATTCTCATGATGTTTCAGTGGGGGAAGGGTAGCTTAAAATACATTCGCCTTAAAGGATTATACTTGGATTTTTATTCTTGCACTTTTCTGATTAAATTGGCAGCAAATCATACTGCCATTTAATCTGGAGCAAGGAGGCAATTTTAAATATATTGGACTTAATTGGGAGACCCAGATTCAGGACTCCATTAACACCGAGAGATCCCTGGATGATGTCGGACCAGTCATTCCTTCTCAGCCCAACCTATATCAAATTGTTATGGGATAACATTAAGGGAATTGCTTCCCCATCTATGCCACTTTTCTGAGAAAACCTGGAATATAAATGTAGTAAACAAATAAAGTGGAGACCTTGGGGATTGCAAAAAAAATAATGCTGTCTTGCATTTCAGTGATTTAAGCTATATATCTGATACTTTCCCTGTGAGAACATGCTCAGTAACAGTTTTCCAAGCAGAAGCAAGTAAGAACTACAGGATGTGCTAATTATCATCCTGTATGGTCCAAAACAGGAGCTAGTAGGTAAGAGGTTTCCCTAAGCTCTCTGTGATGCAACTTGCTTAAAATAATCAGAAAAGGAAGCTGGTGCATAATGAAATGAGTGTTCCATCAAGATTTAGTTCTGCTCTGAAAAAGATGGATTGGAACTTGTGTGCTTAACATTAACAATCTCAAATTAAATAGAAGCATTGAGATGGCTAACTTATGTGCAGTATAGTTAGACAAAAAAAGGTAACTGAAGAGTTCCAGAAAGAGTTCTCCAAACTGGAGCAGCAGACAGTTAAAAAGAAAATGCTGTTCAATGCAAGCAAATTTAAAGTGATCTACTTCAAAGCACAACAAAAAACAAAACCAAACCTGTGCACATTTTGCATGGGCAATAGATTATACACATTTATGGTGTATTTATTTTTGGAATATTGTAGAATTGAAAAAGGAGAGCAGTTCAGCCCAAATCATCCAAGACCTGGAGCAACTTCCCTAGATTTAGGACTTTTCTGATTAAAAAAAAGTGAGAGGATGGCATGGCAGTACGAAATAAAAACAACCACAACATGGACAAAATAGTAGAAGTTTCTTTTAATTTATTTATTTATCAGACGGTGAAACTGCCTTAGGCCATATAAATTTGATTACATGAATAAAATTGTTAGCCACCCAGAGTTATTTGCTTAAGATGAATGGCCATATACATTTCCTAAATAAAATAAAACAAAATAATTTCTATTTTGTCCATGCTGTGGATGTTTCTCATAACAGAACCTAAGGTCATCCAACGAGGCTGCAGGATGGAAAGTCAGGAAAAATACAATACTTCTTCACACAGTTATATAGTTGATCTAAGGAACCAAAGGGCATTGGACAAATTCATGATGGATAAGGTCATCAGCAACCAAAAGCCATGTTAGCTATGGAGTTAACGATTTAAGAACCTGTATGCCACCTTTCAAAATCAAGTCAGTCTCTCAATTCTTTTGCTGAGGGAAATGAATAAGAGGATGTAATGGTGCATCTCTCCTGCCTGCAGACTGGAAAACAAACAGTTAATAAGATGGGATTGGTACTATCTTGCCGAACTTTATCTATTTTATCACTGCCATACTGTATGCTATGCTCAGAAAAAAATGGGAAAAACCTGTGACTCAGCACTGAAAGACCTCCTAGAAAGGTCAGTCGAGAGAAAATCCTGGAGCCTACACTCAAATTCTTATCATATGAATCATCTGCATTCATTGTGAGTTGGCAAAAGTGCCATTTAATATTAAGTTCCTGTAAGGCAACTTTTTCCAGTAAGACAAAAACAACTAAATGTTAATCTCCTTCAGTGCTGGCCTTGGTCCTAGCTTTTGTGAAGACTGTCAAGCTTGGAGCCTCCTGATGGTAGGTTTCTCCTCCTGAGTTTGCAAAAATTCATTTCAGCAGCCACAACAGCAAGTTCTGTATGCCTGCCTGGGGAGCCACAGCATTCTTTCTCCATGGTTACTATAAGAGCAGGCACATTGCTTAATATTTATGAAGAACATATGCTGATTAGTAACTAGTTGGGTGCCATCACTTCAAGGCTTTCACCAAACAATAGAGAAATAACACAGTCAGAAAGCTTAATCTTTATCCATCTCCTACAAGAATTAGGCTGTAATCTGTGAAACAGAGCATGCAGTTCACTGTTGCGTTAGCTGCCCTGTTGTCAGAGCCTATGTAGCAAGCTGATTTGAAGATGTGTTGGAAAAAGCTCTGAGTTTTGGCCCCTCAAATGCCTTGAAACAAAACTGAAAGTTACACCAGTTTAAGAATTAGCATTCTAATAAGAAGGGGAGTATTTTCTATGCTGGCTGGTGTGATATGGACCTTCACCACCCTCTGCCACCACCCAAACATTAATACCAGGTTTTACAGCCAATAAAATGTTATTGGCCATTCCCCAATTGTGGTAAGAGTGAATATCTATTTTAATAACTTAATAATACAAATAATCTGAACAGACCCTACTTAGACTCTCATTTGTAAGTAGGGAGACAAGCATGACTAAAACATCTTAAATTTCCCAGATTTCTTAAACCACATAAAAGGAAAACTGCCCAAGTCCAGGAAGCAGCTATAAACTATTTACTTTTGCTTATGCTGTGACTATGACCTTTCACATTCCTCTTCTTAGACCTATCTGAAGCAAATATAACTGGCTTAGTATCAGAAAAGCAAAACATATTAAAACAAGAGATTTACCATTTGAGACCTTGCTTAGCCTGTTCAAATTGTTCAAACTACTTGGAGAAAAACCAGCAACCACTTTTCCTAGGCTTGTATGACTTCTTGGAGGAACTGGAGGTGAAGTTGTAGGAAGTGGAACAGGTTCACTATGTAGATGGGATGGAGGCTTTGACTCATCAAGGACCATCCCTTGCTTATGTTCAGCCATTTTTGCTTTGTCCTCTGTCAAAATAGCAACATTAATAATTTGTGGGTGTGAAAGAGAAGTTGTCCTGTTTGTACACTGTGGTGGTGTTGCACTACATTTCTGGTCACCTTGTGTTAAAGCACTTTCCCAAATGTGCAGTGTGTTGCGAAAAGAATTGCTTGCTCTCTCAGACTCTTGAGGAGAAAGACAAGATTCTGAATGTGGTTTCTGTAATTTTTCCACTGATGAAGCCCTCTTGCAAATGGCCACAGAGAAGTTTGAGTCTTTCCTATCTTTGTTCTTCCCTACCTCCGACAATTCATGAAACCTGACCTTTGGGAACACCACAGGCTTGACTTGCATGATTTCCAATTTCTGCGATGTGTAACTGAACTGCTTGGTTAACTGTTCAGGATCTGGAACTTGCTTTTGGTGCAAGGGTTTTGGTGTGGGGCAGGATACAGAACGGCCATCAGTATTTTGATGTGGAATGAATTTGGCAGGAGACTTCTTTGCAGACTCCAGGAGCATACTAGAAAAACTGGAATCATTTTGAAACATTGCTCGAAGGGCACCAAAGTCTCTGGTTTTTTCCTAAAATTGACAAAAAGAGGAAAAGCAATTGTCAATTGCAGTGCTTACATTGAAGTACAGCACCGAGTGAAAAGGTAACTCTGTCACTCAGGCTGGAACTGAATGAAAGTCTTCCCAAGCCTCATCTGAATATCCACAGTATCACAGTAATAGCTTAGTCATTAGCATATTGGAGCTAATACTAATATAAATAAAGGAAGCAGAACAGAAACATGACAAGGAAAGACTGAAATCCTTGTAGTGAGGAAAATAATGACGTCCAACTGCCTACTATTAGTAAAAAAGAATTTTTCATTGGATTACTCCAGAAGTAGTTAATCTGGTAACTTCCAGAACTCCTGGACTATATTTCCTACTTACCATTAACCGTTATCACTAGAGTGAGTGTGAGTTCAAGTCCAAAATTTATCTGGAAAGTTCCTGATAGTCTGCTTGTAGAGTACTCTAAGTCAAATCCATCTTAATTACAACTGCCCTTGTTTTTCTCTCTAGCTTCTGCCAT